AGATGACATTTACCCTGTCCTATATCAAAAACTCCAAGCACCGAAAAAAACACACACCCTATCCTGTGCCTTGGGAATAAAAAGTTGCAGTTAGTACTGGGAATTAAAGATAAAATCTCCTGTATCCTGCGCGGTAACACACATTCTCACCCCATTCCATGCCATTCTGTTCTGTTCCTGTTCCTGCAAGTGCCGTGTGATAAACTTAGCAGTCTCAAAGGTGCTACAAAATCTCTCTACATATCTCCAGACTAACACGGCTATATCTTTGAGTCCTACTTATGATGGAGGAGATGGCAGGAACCACAGCTTAACCACACTTCCAGTGTGAGAAAAGAGTAGTAAAAAAAAACCCCAAAACATGCAAATTGGGGTAGTACTAAAATCTGTTACAAGCCACAACAAACCAAGGCCAAAACCCTGAAATATTTAGAGCATGACAGGATGCAGGAATAGAAACAACTGTTGCAAAGCACTGCAAAATGTGAAACCAAATGCACTAACATTTATCTGAACTATTGGGTGCTTTGGAGGTAACCTGAAATTTTCCTTGGGATTGAAATCAATCCACACAGTCTTGTATGTTCCAACCATTGCTTGAACTTACAGCCATATGGGCTTGTTTCTAGCTGCATCCATGTGGTGAGCAGAATGAAAGACGTTCAGGAGGATTCAAAAATGTCCTCAGTCTTTTTTGGTATTTTGGTTAGTCCTATTCCTAATAACATTATTGCTTATTGGAGTTGTGTAGGTTTTGGAATGAAACTGGAGTATGGTTACCACAAATGGAAACCTTTACAAGGAGGAGGGAAAGGGGGACAATGTATTAATACAATTCCCTCTTTCTCTGCTCTTCCAAACTCCTCTGCAGCTGTTGCAATATAAGACCACACCCATTTAATTCTGAGTCCTACTTCTTCTGTCCCTAAAATTATTTTGTAGCTCTGCCTTTGGAATGGAAATGCAGTGAACCCTTGGCAATTAAGAATTGGTTCTCCTCTCCCTCACACAGATGTGATGAATTCACAAGACACACTCTTCATTTAATTCTCTTGTTAAGCCTTTTCCTTTTTAAACAAGATGATTGTTCCCAAGGGGGAAATGAGACATACTAACACTACGGAGCACTGAGCGCTGAGATCTGACAACATTTAAGATGTTTGGTCATACAAACAAGTTGCTTTACGAGACTATAGCCAGTCTTGGGCTGAAACGCATAATTTCTCTAAACCAAACATTTTAAAGGTCAAATACCTTGAGAAATGTTTGCTCAACCTAGTTACCAATTTATCTGTCTCAACGGACATTAAAAATTGCTCTTGAGACTGCTGGGTTCTAAAGTTTCTGTAGAGGTAGGAATTTTGACAAATACAATTTTTCATACCAATGTCTAATAAAGCATGACTTCTGCTATCTCATGCTAATGATGCTTGCCTGTGTATGCTTTTATTAGGTTAGTCATGTTGTTTTTACCTCTTCTCATGACAGTAGTCTTTCAGTCTACTAACCTTCTTACCAGAGGTGGGTGAAGTGGTGGATTCCAACTCCCATCATTCCTGATTATAGGCTATGAAGCTAGAGCTGATAGGAGTTACAATCCAGCAACTTCTAGAAAATTACACTTTGCCCACCATTTCTCTGTACACTAAAAATTTGTACTGTAGAGGTGGGTTTCCAGGAGTTAATCTGCAGTACAAGTAGATGGTGCTGGGTTTGACATTTCAAAAGGAAAAGTGTTTAAAAAGCAAACAAAGTAGTAGGAGCTACACTGAATTGGGGCATAGACAGTCCAGAGAGGCATTCAAAACTAAGATTACACTGATCATTGTGACTGTCCTATACTCCATTCTTCTGTTTCTCATCTGACATATGGTATTTAGAAGTAATAGACTAAAACAAGTGCCTAGATTTTTAACAGATACTGGGCTTATATTGTAAGACAGTAACTGAAAGATGGAAAATTCCACATCCACTCTTCTCCCTTGCATTCACCTATGCTCCATGAGAAGGTTCTCTAGTGTGTTGAAGGACCCATTTGAAAACCAAGGGAAAGGGAAGGGGGACTCTTATAGAAGAAGAGCAAATCACCCAATACAAAGAGTAGCAAAGGATGGAAACTATTCCTTGCTTAAATTCATTTACCAATCCATTAAGCAACATAGACAATTGTGTCAGATGCAAATAATATACCGGTAGCAATCCTCCAGGAGTCTGTAAAGTTAACTATTACTCCTACCTTTAAAGACTAATTCAGAGATTTCCCAACAAGCATGTCAACGACTCAGCCTGATCCTTAAAGCAATTAATTGTGGCCCTTGGTGACACTGCCAAATCAAGATGAGCTTCCAAGTTTTCTGATAAATGCTAAAACTATTCTTAAACATGATATCTGATATAGGACAGATGTTCCAT